CCATATAGCTCAGTAATGAGAAATGACAAAATGTCGTCGATCCCATTTACAACACACCAACATTTGCCATAAAGTTTTACCAGTAATTTTATGAACTTACACACGAATGTAGCACACCACAATACAGATAGTACATAGTACCTAATTAAATAATATTATGAATTATTATGTACACAGAATCTGTGTTTGGTGTAATTACGGATTGCCTAAATACTTATTACGATCTGCCTAATGGGATCTGCTCATGTAGACCCCCATTTACATCTCATGCATCCCCATTTTCTCTCTCTCTGATGTGGACCCCCAGCAAGTCAAAATCGACCCCTGGGGGTCCATATAGACCACTTTGGGAACCTATGGAATTTAGCAGTTTTCATATCTGCCTCAGGTCCAGGGGAGGAGATCTTCTCAAACAAAAATTCTAGGGCCAAAGAGCATATGAGACCTGCTGATGCCATCCTTTCCGTGTCCGTAGCACCCTTTAATCTCGCATAGAGGGCTGTAGAAGCATAATGGGGTTTGTGCAGATGTCCTTCCTCCCCTCATTCTTCTGTGAGACAGATGATGTTAGGGGGGATGACCATGCCCAACATCACCAGATCTGTGGCTGAACAACTGACTTGAGTTTCTTCTCTCAGTGCTTTGGCTATGGACCCAGCTTTGCTCTTCCTCTTTTCCCACAGAAAAGAAGGAGAGATGAAGCAGTCTTAGCTAGAGTTAAGGGAAACAGAAGAAGCCTTTCTGAATAATGTGAGAACTTGTGCACACATTTGGACATCTTTTGGACAACAACAGTGCCCTTTTGGTTGATCCTTCCACTATGGAAGCACTGTTGGATTGCTTCTGACATAAATAACAAAGCAGCAGCTGATGTTTGTATAGGAGCTAACTGAATCCTCACCAAGAGACTCATCAGGCTCCTGCAGGCAGGTGTGGGGACAATGAAAGGGAAGGAGTTTTCAGCTATGTTGCGAAATTGGCACATGAAAAGTCACATCCCCAACAGTTGAAACTACTGCCTCTCATGACTGGTTTCAGAATGGATGTTCTGCTGACTCCTACTGTTTCAACCTGGATTGTGCTGTTAGTGTAGAAATACCAAACTTCGGAGGGAAAGCTGTGGCCTTCTCTATATTTTGTGGGCATATAACAGTGGTTATTTAAGAAGTGGTATGTTCAGTGTCAGCAAACGTACATTGATTCCTACTATCTGCATCACTACAGAACACTAAGTTCTGAACACTCAAGTTCTGTTCTGGAAGGTACATGTGTGAAAGAATTACCTTCTAAACGAACTAATCTTATGTGAAGTCATATGTTCCTGAGTTGGGGAAGTAAGGTATATAGACCTCAGCGGAGGCTGAGTAATTAGGGCTGGTGCCCTGCTCTATGGCTAGAAAGATGGTAGAAGTCATACCTCCCCACCCCCACAAAGATATGACTGCATGGAACCTTGGTGAATTCACATAAAGAACCATTCTCCAATTAAGTATTATAGAGCTATACTGCACTGTCATTGAAATGGTTATGCAGAAGGAAGGAAACAAAACCAGAATTATTTACCCTACAAATGACTGATTTTCCATCCATCAACACATAATCAGTACTAGTCCTCACTGATAAGACCTTTCAAAGGCTGGCTCTCATCCTGTTTGCAACTTTATACAGTCTATACTAATGTCACAATTTCACAATAAAAATTGATGATGTTTCAAAAACGTGAATACTCTTCAAATCTCCCCCTTAAAATAACTGGATAATACACATCACAAAGACAATATCTAAATGTTGCGTATGGCACAAATTCTATGGAAGGGGGGTCTGGAAAGATCAGAAGTCTCTAGCCTTTAATAACAGACTGCTGAGGAAGGACAAAGATAATGAATGTGTAGAGACACTGCAAAGAAAAACAGTACTTTACTATTCCAACACACACATCACACTAGACAAACAATAGAAGGATGTTGAAAAAGAAAAAAGAGCTATCAAAATTGGCAGGCACACTAACTCTTTTTTCCACAGCACAAATATTTGATATTTAATTTTTGATGAAAGAACTTAATGTTCCAATGGGTCTTACATGAAACTATACCTTTATATTACATTTATATACCACTCTTCTACTAGCATAAAATTCAAGGCAGTGCATGTTTGGTCTCCCATTCGCATATCAGACCCCGGACTACTTAGCATCATTGCTAAATGTCAGGCGTTCAAAACACAGCCTGCGTTAAATTGAAAAGAGATGTGATTCACAGATATTCTAGTCAGAGTGCAGGGATGGACAAAACGGGATGACTGATGTGTAGACAAGGGTCCTTTGAGAAATGTTTGCATACAATCCAGGGTGAAAATGAAGAAAACAAACTTATGGCACAATGGTCTGCTTAGAAGCAAGTGGCTGAATTCATAGAACTCATGCCCAGGTAAATACAATTAGGATTGCAAGATTGTAGCTGTAATTTATTTATTTAAAATCTTTATATCCCACTTTTCTTCTAAAAAGAACCCAGTAGCTTACAGTATTAAAAAAATATTAACAACTAAAAACAATAAATTATTACAGTGTTTAAAAAGAATTAAACAAATATAATAGTAAAACTAGTAGGTAAAAACAGTAGTAGAAACACATTAAAAACAACAGAAGCACAAAGAATCCTTTAAAAAACTCTCTTAGATAACAGATTACTAAAGGAAAGCATGCCTGTAAAGAAGGGGCTTTGCCTGCTTGTGGAAGGACAACAAAGATGGGGTCACGCTGGCTGGCTTTCTGTGGGAGGGAGTTCCATGGCTTGGGGGCAGCGACAGAGAATATCTTCTCCTGTATCCCCACCAAACCTCCCAGAAAGCTAGATTAGAACTGAAATGACAGAATATGTTCTATGAAGCCATATCTTCTCTGGTTCCATGTTGTACATGAAGAGGAACTTGAGGTGATGAAAATTATGGAGACAGGGCTCATGGCACATACAGTAAATGGAGAAAACTTCATAGAAAAATCCTGCCCTCATACTTTGCTAACATTCATCCTGTCCCAGAACCCAAACACATAACAGCTACATGGGCACCCCTATAACTAGAAATGCAAGGACAAAGCATGAAGGCAAGTCAAAGAAAGAATTTTTTTTTCATGTCTTTGAGTGGAATGGGAAAAAAATCTAGGGACACTGGGGAATGTAGGGGAAAAAACACAGATTAAATATTTTCTCTTTTGGAATGTGTTAAATACTTTTAAGATAAGGTTTTACTCACTTAGAATGCCAAGAAATGTATAGTATGAAAATTTATATGTAACAGTGGGCTTGCCTACATGGCTCGGCTGCAGCAGGCAGGAGCAGACTAAATAGGGATGCTAGGAGGTTTGGTATGCCATTTGGTGTGACCTTTGCACCCAAACGATATATGAACCTCAAGCAACTCCATTTGGTTCACACCAACCTGCTGTCAGTTTGCCAGTATTGTGAACTGGCTTAAGCAGAGAGCCACTTCAGGATATTGAAAAATTAAACACTTTCTTGACTCCATGGAGGGGCCGAGGAAACAATTTTCTGTGTGTATGTGTGTGTGTTAAGTGTATTAGAGATGGGAGTTTTTTCCCCTCATGGCTTTATGTTTTCAAGAAATATAATATCTCTATCATACATGAAAAGTCTCTCCCCTTTTCTAACCTCCACATTTAGGTAAGATCATACAAGCCACACTAGATTAGACTAAATGTTTATCTAGCCAAGCCTTCTGTTCAAAAGAGTGGTATTTGTACTTTCAAACTAAATGCCCATGGAAAGTCCATATTCCATAACAGCAGTCCACTATCACCAGCACCACGGATGTCCAAGTGTCCATCTTGGCTTTTTCAATCTCAAGAAGCTAGTGTTTGCTTCTTTGATTTTGCCTCTATTCCTTACCCTCTTCCAATCTAATAGAAGAATCCCTCAGTCTCCCTACAGAGAAATGTGTGTCATTTCTCTGCTGGTTCCCAGAAGTGTGTGCATGTAACTGTGACAGTTGGCTGGGGCTCCTTGTAGTTTGTCTCATGAGTGCTGTAGTTTGCTTCTCTCTGGCCAGTGCCTGTTCTTCCCAAAGTGTACCACTTTTATAGCTTTAATGGATGAACAGCTTAGAGCCTGCATGTATTTTTATGCTGGGTGTGTGGCATTGCCTCTTTTTATCAACATTGAGACATCAGGTGCATGAATCTTGAACATTCATTGTGTGTGAGAGGGAGATTGCTACTGTATCCATAAGTGATTTGTGAGATTTGTTGATATCATGGATGTTGTGGACATGCCTGTGTTTTTCTGCTTTTGACTTTTGCACCAGTGAACCAAATGAAACCAGCTAAGCTACACTGACAGTGTGGCTACGTAAGTACCTATCAGCACGTTGGAACAATAGAGAGGCTTTGTAGTTTCCAGAGACTCCTCATATTCTGTTGCTTTTGTGCTTATCTTCATCCAGCTTTCCTTCCTTCTTCTTTCCAACTCTTTCATTTCAAAGGCAGTTAAGATGTGGATCTCCAAGTGTACGCTTGCCAATAACTCTTGGCTCCAAGGCAAGACTTGCCCCAACAAGCAGAAACATGTATAACACAGTTGAAAGAACCTTAGATTTTAAAGACTTGTTTAAAATGTACAACAGTGCAATTTTGATTAGTGATGGATGGTTTAATTATTTATTTGCACAGCACAAAATGATGTGTGTGTGAGGGCGCAGCACTGAGAAGACGCTGATATGGTGGGAACGTTTTCAGGGAAACTCCCTCCTTGCTTTCCAGAAACCTCAACAAAGAAAGTGGTTGGCCTTACCTGCTTTGTTACCTGGCTATGCAGGCGAGGGCGACTGCAGGCGGAGCCCGCAGAGTTCAGGCACCAGCCAGTGAAAAAGCAGCCCCACCTCCAGCTGGTCTTGTGAAGGAGGAGGCGGAGCCCTCGCTCCGGGAAAGGTGGTGCTGGATGTTTGACTGATTCGCTTTACAGATTAGTTCACCTTTAGCCCCGGGGCCCCGAAGCAGTTCACACCTATTCCTGAGGAAAAGGACATGACTCAGTGGAAGGGCGAGTAACTGCAGGAAAAGAGAGTCGAGACCGCGCGTTTGCGAGTGAGCAGGAGAGTTTACCTGTGTAAACCGTCTGCTGGCAGCGGTGTGTGATAGCTGCCCCCCTAGTGTAAATAGCCTCCCTCCGACAGCTCTAGACGGACCAAGTGGCCAGAAAGGGGACTTCCCGGGAGAGAAACGACTCCACACAATGAACAAATAAAACGGGAGAGCTGAAATGTGGAACAGTCGGGTGTGTGTTTGTGTGAACTGGAGTGGGGGTGGTGCACGGGAAAGGGAGAGACACTGAGCGGTGAGGGAAATCCGGAGAGGAGGCGAGCTGCTGTCGGTTTTAATGGTGGCAATTCTGTGGAAGGCATTGAGTGGAAGAGGGCGAAGCAGGGAGGCACCCGAGTAATGAACGGGGGAGGGACCGCGAAAAGTGTAGCCCGGAGTGTGCGTGGACCAGCTCAGTTCCCGACACTATCGTAAGCAGGTTTACCCAACAACCATGCCTACTTCTCTCAGGGGGCTTACTCGCAAGTAAAACGAACCCAAGACTGCTGCGCAAAAGGGGCAATTCTAAGGGGCGCAACCCTGAAAGGTAAGTGATCTGTGAAGTACCCGCGGATTTTGCCCCGCCACTATGCATGAACGTACGCCGGGGGGCGGCATGTATGTGTGAAAAAGAGCCGCATACGGAGGAGCACTGGGGCACACAACTCTTTGGCCGAGCAGCGTTAGCTGTGGTAGGCATCGAAGAAAGGCTGCGTGCAGAATCCGAAGGGAGATTCTGGATGAATGGAGCGGTTTTTCTGGCAGGGAAGGCGGTGAGGAACGCACAGTGTGATCGTGGGGTTGGGGGTGGGTCGGAAACAGAGCAAGGAAGAGAAAGCAGAGCACCAGCCCAAGGAACGGGGTGCAGGGTTAGCGACGCGCGCGCGAAGGAGGTGGCTATAGGCGGGCAGGCGGGCGGTGTGAGAAGCCTGACTGACTGAAAATTGGGGGTTATCCACCTTTGACTAAGCAGCGCCGGCGGCTCTACAGGCGGGAGGGCGCACGCGCGCGCCCGGATTGCGTGGTCCCGCGAGCGAGCGAGCCAGCCAGAGAGCGAGCCAGCGAGGTAGTGTGTGTGCGAGGAAAGGGAACGGAGGGATTTTGGGAGCTGCCGGTGTGTGCGTGTCACACGGGGGAAAAAAAAGAGAACGACGGTGGCGGAGCCCGACGCCAGCGGCTAGTTGGCGGGTCGGAGGAAGGCAGCATGCGGGTGGCGGCGCCCCGGGCGCGTGTGGTGAGTAGTTTCTTGGCGTCTCTCGTGGTCTTGCTGAGCACTCGCCGCCTGTTGAGTGCAGCTTGTCTTCACCTTTGGTGAAACAAAAATTCAAGGGGGAAAAAAATCTCTCAAGAGTTGCCCGCCGCCGGATTTCAGCTTTCCTCCAGGGCGAGTTGATCTGAATGCACCGTCGCTTTCCGCGGAATCAACCCCAATCTATTCCCTGGGGCAGAAATGCTGCCTCTCTCCTTCCCCTTGTCCTCTTGAGAACCTTCTTCCCCTTCAGCGCGGAGGAACTCATTCTCCCTCAAAGAGAACGAGCTTTTGGGACCAGATCGAGTCCGGGTCATGTTGAGTAGTGGTGCATGCAGGTAGGGGATGGATCCGGCCCGCCCGTCCATCTCTTACCTGCTGCCGCCATTCTCACTCGATTTCTTTTTTGTTTAGGATTCCAGCTGAGGGTCGTTTCCCCCTCCTCCTTCTCTGCACATGCACCGAATCTGGTCTGCATTTTTCTGAGCTGAGCCCTTCTTGTATGCTTTTGGTTGAGGTTATTACTTGGAGACATGGGCTATACCTGTTCTGGAACTGTTGCATGATATAACGTGTATTTTTTTTCTCCCTGTCTTTCAAATTTGTACTTATGGCAGGCATAGCCCCCGCTGTTTTTGTATGTGCCTGAAATGGTGGCATTGGTTGGAGATATTCATAAAAATGCAGTTAAAAATGTAGAGACCTCTTTTCCTGATTGTTCACTTGAGGAGTGTTGAAAATAAAGCAAGGATTTCCCTAATCGTTGAAAGAATAAAAAAGAAAGCATCAAGTTTCCAAATATTCCTGTAACCCAGAAAGATAAAATTCATTTTTCCATATGAATGGAAGTGGCCCGGTGACCCTTCCCACTGGAAGACGTAATACACCAGAGTCATTGGTAGTGCTTGGAAGAAAATTGGTCTCACTGTATATTTTTAGACATGATCAGTCTGACTTTACCTGTGGTGCCTACAACCTAAGACTTTCAGGGTATGGAATGTTGCTTTGCCTGCTTCTCTGCCTTCAGACAAATGTTTAGAAACAAAATCTTTGGGTTTCTCCCAGGTGTACCATACAGTCTGGAAAGAGAAGCAGTGACACCAATGTAGTAACAGCCCTCAAACCAGATGCTTTCAGAATTCCTGCTTCCTCCTTTCAAACTACAACCAAGACTGTTGGGCTTTTTATCTTTTGGCTTTGTTCTTTTTGACTGCAGATTAATGGAAAGAAATGGGAGAGAAACAATGGGTTTCTTGCCATTGGTTGGACTGGTTTGTGGTTTTGCACTCCCAGACAGCTTTAGAAAGGTGCCTTCTTGGTTCAAAGTCTGGGCTTAGTGTTGTAAGGTAAATATGGGGTAATTAGAAAACTGCCTGAAACACATTTTTGCTGTTTATCATTTAGTTTTCTTCAGAGGAAGGGATGTTTAAAAATTACAGTGAACTCCATGAATTCTTAGCTTTTGCATGTTTTGTTTCTGCTCTTGGAATAACACTGATAGGCAGAAACAATGCAAGCAGATTCTCCCCCCCCCATAACATTAAATAGTATTTGGCTGTGAATATTAAATTACTGAACACATTCAAAGAAAACAACCTTGCTTTTTTTTTAAACCATACTGTAATATAAAATGCAAATAGTGGAAGACTTTTCCTTGGAATATGGTGAAAGTATACCCTGCTACTGTAAATTCGTTTTTCTCTAATATTCTTGTGTGCAAGATTTAAACTTTTGCCCCCTGTTGGACTGGCAGGAGTACTTTAGAAGAGAAGAAAAAGGACCCTTTTAAAATGCAAATGGTGTAGGCACTTTGTCAGCCAGCTCCCACTCAACCTGTTGGTTTCTTTTTAACTGAAGCAATGACTGGCAGATTGTTGAAATCGCTGTACTACTGAATTATCAGGAATGAGAGCAATGTTTTTAGTGCTGCACTTGCCAGTTTAAAAAAAAAAGCTTTATGTGCTGTGCAAGAATCTGAACTGTGAAATCACATTCATGAATGGCAGTTTACTGTTGTGCAAGGCCATGTAGCTGGCTGAAATACTAGTACAACAGAGAAAAATAAATTTATGGAACTCCCCTCCCCCCATATCCCTTGTTTCCATAAAACATTTTTGGCTCTTAGAAGCACGCCTTGAGCCCTTAAAACAATCTCCATTCTGAGAAACGTGTTCATACTTAAATATATGAAGGCTGATGGTCTTTAGCAATTGCTTCAATCTGTACTTAAGACCCATACCTATTTCCATTATCATAGATGCTGTCAAGATCTGTGATAATGATTCCATCTATCACAATGGCCATTTGACATATCCAGAACTGAATTATAGAATGATTTGTTCTAGGCATTGTGATGCAATCAGGATTGAATAATTAGCTGTTTTGATTTTTGTGGTGTTTTGAAATATGGTTGACTCAAGCTTGTATGAGTTAGTTAGCTGCCATCCCTTCAACTTCTTAACCTCTTGTCCATTGATATAATCGTGCTTTCTCTTCTCTTGTACCACCCGCATCCTGTCCTACCATGCTTTTAGAAGACAGGGAGGGACAAGAATGGATATTAATGCATTGCTTCCACACGGCTGCTCCCTACCTCTGAAAGGGAGATTAATACCTCCATTCACTGACTTCAGAGCTTAGCTCAGTATTAACCATGGTGAATTTTGGTGGCTTTGCCAAGGGCTGTCTCTGTGTTTCCTATATAACTTTTAAGAGCTTGCTTGGTTTCCTGGAGGCAGTTTTTGCTCACCACAAGTGAAAAGAGGAGTGTCTAATTACAAATCTGCAGAATGGAAAAAAGGAATGAGCAAACAGGGCGTAATCCAACAGGAATGTCTCCTGCTCAAGTCTCACTCAAAGAAATAAGAATGCAGGAGCATAAGTGATTTTGTAGGCAATTCCAGTTAATTTCTCTTAGGCTTTGTCAGGAGCAGTGTCATTTTATTTTGCTTCTGCTAATCACCATATATGCTCAGCTTTCAAAAGAAAATCTTACATGACAGTTTTAGATTGCCAACACTGTAGGCCGCTCCTGCTTGTCACTAGAGGTCCTAGGATGACTACCTTCATTTTAAAAACTGCATTTAAAAACCATGCTGATAGCACTCATTACCTTGATGCCTGACCCTGCAGTGGTCAGTTTTATGTTCCTGTCACTGAACTTTAATCTTTGGTTTATTGCTTGCCCTGGTGTGATTGTTTTAGTGGCTGTTCTAAGAAAACCTACATTTGTGAGTGTGATTTAAAAAATTCAACTCTGTAAATAAGAAATAAATGCAGCCTGCAGCAGCCATCCTTGCAATCTAAATAAGTGGTAAAGCACTGCCAGTGTATTTGAGTCCATGAAAGCTCATGCTACAATAAATTTAGTACATATGAGCTTCTGGTGAGTTACCTGTAATCCCCTAATTTTGGGGGTGATGTGTTGTTTTGCATTCATCCCATTTCTAGAAAAGCTTCCTTAGCAAAGCAATAAAACAGCTTATGGCTGAAGAATTAGTGCATCCTTTTTAGAAGACTTTAAAAAATCAGCTTAGTTATAAATACTGCCATCTGCCCTTTTTGCTTTTTATGTGTTTCCTTGTGATAGCACGTTGGCTCTTGGCAGAAACAATAAAAGAAGCCATGGCTTCCCTATTTTTGCTTTTGCTGAAAATGTCAAAATATTTAGAAAACAAAGTAGGAGCGTTTCTGGATTCATGCCTTTGGTTCACACTGACTGGATGAGTGTTTGGGTTATTTTCATCTTCATTTGCTTGTGGTGGTGCTCATGAGAAGGTCTGGCCAATATCAGCGCATTTTGACAATGACAGCTGTCTGAGCTTGCACCTCTGAGGAAGAACAAAAACCTAAGCTTGTGTGATGGGGAAAAAAGCTTTTGTCTTTGTGTCCTCATAATACTGGAGTGAAAGGAGAAATGCCTAATGAAGATTATTTTTGCTGAGTTTATGGCCTTCTATAAATACACTTGTCATATAGTTCCATACATTTGGAATCTGTATACTTTAATCTGCAAATGAAGTTTTCTAATGACCTATTGACAACTAAGCAGGTTGTTGCTTTAGTGTTAGCCTATTATGCATATCAGTTTTTTCATTACTTTTGCTCCTTCTTTAACCAATCATATTACTGCTATCTGTATTGGCCTTAATTCATCCTTAAGTATGGTACTCCATTATTTTCTGTCCCTGCATTAGTGTGATAGCCAGGTGTTCCCAGAGTAGAAACTTACTTCTATGATGATCCCCAAAGATACAATAATAAGAAAGCTTTATAAACTGCTAAAGTTTACATTAAAA